GGAATGTATTTTAAGATCTAGAGAAAAATAACCATACATTGTTTTTTAGTGAAGTTGCATTAGTTAATCTAATCTCGCTCACTGTTAAAGACTGATAGAACTATTTTCTGCTTACTTTGTTTGACGTTAAAACTGATCTCGCCTGCAGTGGGAACACTCCTGAAACCAGAGGAACAGCCTATGTAGTCTATGAAGACATCTTTGATGCCAAAAACGCTTGTGATCACCTGTCAGGATTCAACGTGTGCAACAGATACCTCGTCGTTTTGTACTATAATGCAAACAGGGTATGTATGCTTGGGGTCTGCCAAGTTACCTGTGACATTACACAAAAATCGGTTTGAAAAGACAGTTGCTTGGATATTTTTCAGAAATAAATCCAAACTGGTGGAGGGAATGGATTGGTTAAATTGTCAGGATTTCATCTTTACTTGATTTGTGTGCAAAAATGTACCTTTGGACCAAGGGTGTGAAAAAACATGCTTGTGGTGAGAGTACTTTGGAGAGGGGGTAGCAGGGGCCGTACGGCTGAACAGCTGCCGCAGGACGTGAGGTCTTGTTCGCAGGTGAAAAGTCTCCAGGTCTCGGTGTTCTGCCTGTTACTGATGGCCTCCGGGGTACTGTGGCCTTCCCCGAGGGTGGGAATTAGGCAGCGCTCGCTGTGCGTGATGTCGATGCAGTTCGTGGTGATGTCAGCTGTGGTTACGAGGAAATGACATAAGGTGAGATTTTTTCTTTTTCTCTTCTCACATCTGTATTTCCCTAATTACAGGCATTCCAAAAGATGGACACAAAGAAGAAAGAGGAACAGCTTAAGCTTCTCAAGGAAAAATATGGAATTAATACAGACCCACCAAAATAAACTCATCTTTTTGGAAAACTGTTTTCAAGCCCTGCTGCCGAGTTCTTAAACTAAACATAGGAATTCTCAATGAAGTATAATTTTTTTTTTTTAAATTTGATACGCTGTAATTTGACTCTTTAGATCTTCGCATTAGAATGAAATAAATGTAAAAGATTGGAGGACGTGCTTTAAGATTAAATCCCCCTAAGTGGCCGTGGCTTCTTCGTGTTGTAAGAGCGACCTGGTGGATGCTGCACAACCACTGTCCTGGTTCTAGCAGGACCTCGCAAGGTGGGACCCAGCACCTTGAGCGTTCCACGCCTCCCGACGCCGTGCCCAGTCTCCAGGCAGATGCGAAGCGTGGCAGCCGGTTAATACCGGGGGCTCTGTGTGCGCTGCCTGCGTGGGGGTTTACTGCGCTCCGTGCTACTTTCTGAAAATGGATTATTGCAACTAGTCTCCCTGCCACCGGGATGTTTGTGCTTTTTAAAAAATATATTAGTAGGGTTTGATAGCTCCTCGCACCGCTGTATACTGTACGCAGTTTATTGCGCCTTTCTCCCTCTGGGAACGTTTGAAGGAGCCTAACTCCATTCCTTGAACATTAGGCTACTTCTTACTAGAAACAAAGCAAGCCCAAATCCGTGTTTATAACCAAGTTTCTTTTACAAACTATAGAAAATGAACGGCCTTTTAAAATGAACCAACTGCTTAGGTGGCTTCAGCCAAAATGCCTTGTTCCCAGGGCCCGAGACAAACCAGGTAAGCTGCAGTGAAGTCACCTTGCTCTAACAGCATGGTGCTGCGGGGCTGATTTAGTGGTATACGGGAGAGTCTTCATCACGGGTACCAGGCTGGCTCTGAGGTCAGCAGGAGCGACAGCAACACACTTCACGCCTTCCAGTGTTAAGTAGAGAACACCTGACAAAAAGGAGATGGCAGATAATAGCGGTAACTTTTGGATACCTGTAGTGCGATTGTTTTCTACGCAGTGAGTTTGAACTGTAATGTATGTCATGTACATAAATTTTAAATGTAGTATCTGGTGGAGGAAAAATTTTTTGGCTTTTTTTTTTTTTTTCAGCACTCTTGTCCTGTGAATAAAAATGAGTGTGATACAGAGTATGCACAAGCAGTATATTTTGGAGGTGGAAAAGAGTAACTTCTGCCTCTGTTCTGAGCCTGCTGGAAGTCCTGCGAACGCTGGTGGCTGTGCTGCCTCTCGGGAGGATTGGTTTGTGTGGAGGTGATGTGTAACTCCCTGACCACGCAACTTCCAGCCAGCACAGAACATGGGCAGATGAAAACATACTTTGCCCGAGGATTTGTAATTTAAGTTAATATTTTTTTTTTGGCTGCATTATACTGTCACAAAGGAATGTTTCAATTTTTTTTATCCTTAAGAGTTTCGTTGAAATCTGTCACTTACAAACCCATACTGTTCTTGTGTCCATTTAGTAAAAAAATAAATGTGTGTCTACATCATTTTGCTTTATTTCATCAAGGCTTGTTTTAGGCTGTGCTGCTTCCACGTGTGACCTTTCCCTTTAGCCAGGAAGCCGTTCGTCACCTGCATGTTTGTGATGTAGCTAAGAACTCACAGAACATCCGTCGCCACGCGGATGTGAACGTTGACGCGTGTTCAGCACCCGAGCTGGGGGGGGAGGATGCCCAGCTGCGGGTGCCAGTGCCCCGCTCTCCCAGGGAGGGCGCCCCCTGCAGTTGCCACGGGCTGTGCGTGTCGCACCCCAGCTGGGAGGTGCATGAAGGGTGGCGGCGATGCTCCGAGCTGGCTCTGTCACCCCAAAGCAGCAGGGAGGGGGCAGCTGGAATGGCTCGGGTGTGACTTCAGCTTTGGGTGGGTGCTGGAAATCCCATCCCGTGCCAGACCGGGGAGCGTCCCCCTGGGAGGGCTCTCCCTTCTGTCGCAGACGGGCAGTGGGGACGCGAGCGAGACCGATGTTCAGCGCGCGTAGCAAAACCCCTTGTCCTTGCTCTATGGCTCTTCCGTACCCCTGTCCTTCCCTCAAAACTGCCGCTGCTTTTTGCAGGCCCCAGCGAGCCCTCCCCGAGGCTGGGAACAGGCGATGGGAGGCCCTGAGCCACGGACAGCTGGGGCCACCTCTCTGAACCAAGGAAGCGTAAAGCTCTGCTGCCATCTCATTGCCAGCTTTCCCGCTTGCCCTGCCCTGCGCCGCTTGGCTCAGGTGCAGCTGTGAGGCACGTACATTAAATGCAGAGCAGCTGTCATCTGCTGCCCTCCTCCTCCTCAGGTCAGCGGCTGCTCCTCCTACCCTAGACTGGGGTTTGGGTCTCGCCCAGCAGATTAATCCAAACCTAAGTTTCTTGGGCAAAAACCAGCTTGCCTTAAAAATGCTTAGATGAACAAAATCCTATTGGAGGTCTTGCCTCTGTGTGAACATCCGTAGATTTTTAAAGGTCACAAACCGCCCCCCCCATATATGTACGTATACCTTACATATACCTGCCATGTATATATATATAGACACGTGTACCGTGCCAAACAGGGTAACTGGGGCCATTTACTGCAGCTGCTGGCGTTTAGCGGGCCCCTCGCTGTAACGGAAACTGGAGGTGCTTGTTAACCATGCTGCATTTATGCTTATAATTAATAATAATAAATACTGATCATAAAATACCAAAGTGCTAATAACGGTGCCACATTCTGCCAGCCTTGTTTTTAAATCATATGCAAATACCGCGTCACTTCTGTCAATAGCAGAGAGCATGGTGCTTGCACTGCAGTGTCTGTTTTGATGAGGATTTGATGCTGTTTGAAAAACATATATAAAAAGCAATTCTTTAGGGTAATAAGATTAATAAAAATTCCTTCAGTGAATCCTCAAGATCAGCAGCTTTTGATTTCTCGGAGAGCTCAGCTGCTGCCTTTCATTAAATATTCCATTTCATACTTTTTGTTCTAGTGCCTGTTCAGGGCTTTCAATGTCCCTGCACATGTAAAATGAAATAATAATTTGTACCTGCAAGACAGAGGGAATGGAAATCGAATGCCTGGAGGATTATTTTGATGAGGTCTGCTCAAGATTTTGTTTGAAATTTAATATCAAAGGACAGGGAAATGAGTTCAGTTGTATGAATGGCAGAGGGGGCAGCAAATAAGGCAGATGTTACCAGCCTCGCACTCTGCATCTGTGCTGGTTTTTGTGTGTGCTCACTTCCCATTTAATTTTTCAGGAAGTAGGGCATGAAATTAAGCCTCGAAGGTCATTTTTTTTCTGTCGATGCTGTTTAGAAATTAGCAGTAACAAGAGCATATCTGATTACACAGGCAATGACAGTAAATTTTTTCCAATCCATTATATAGTGGTAATAATTATATGTACTGAGTTGATCGATGATACAATTAAATAAATTAACGCATTTGCAGTCAAATAAAGAGCTGAAGATTACATTTCCTTGAAGACTTAATTTCCCTAAGTATCACAAAGCACAATTAGTTTTCCTTTCAGATTTTTTTTAATGAAACTGGCATGAAAAATGTAATAATCTCTGCTTCCAACAAAGGTCTCTGCAGAGAAAGGGTGATGAGGGAGAGAGCTTCATCAGCCAGCTGTAATAAGGATTTTACAGACTCGGTAATGGCTGGGTTGTACTGCTGAGGGCAAAGGGAAGTGCACAGCAGCTCTGCAGATAGAGGTGGTAAGACTGAGTACGACCAGCTCCTAAAGCCCAGCAGGAACACGTTTTTCACCAGTAAGAACGCCAGCAGAAGTGGAAGGGCAGAGCGATGCCCTACCCCTTGCTTTAGAGGCGCCAGTAGCTTGGTGACAGCAGGACCATGAGATGACGGAGGGAACAGGCAGCCACTCCAGGTACGCTAAGCCAATCCTTCGCATCACTGTTCACTTTCCAGGCATCCAGGAAAGATCCCAGACCAGATACTTTTACGATTTTGGGTTTTTTTTTTTTCTTTTTTTTAAATGAGCACCCGACTTAAACTGGGCCATTGGTAGGAGCAGCTATAGACCAACGTGCTGAATCAACCTGCATCTGCCAGGTGCGATGGGGCTGCATTACATTTAACCAAGGCATCTATAGGAGCTCCCATCTGCAACTACTGCAATACAGCCTGCGGTCTGGAGCCCAGTGCTGAAATCCAGACCCACAACAGAGGCCAGGGCAGTGGCAAAGGAGACCGGGACCTTCAAAAAGGATGTGGGGTAGCTACCCTGGCAGGTCTGATCTCTTATTTATTAACAGGAAAAAAGCCTGTCCTAAAGAAAAGAACTATGGGTGATGATACCTGAATGTGTAACCTCGCTGCTGTGGTGATCCTACATTTCCACCAAAAAAAGGGTCCTGAAAGGCCTTTCATTTCTTGATGGAGAGGGGACCAAGAACAGCACTTACTCCACCAACCCTCGGTGAGGAACAGTCTGTAAGAGATGGGGGTTTACGGGCTTATTAACAAATAATGAACATCTAGAGGAAGAAAACTCTGAGCTGTAGCCACTGGCTGGATTAGTCTTGCTTTTCTGGGCTCCCTTTCTCTCTCGTCTCCAGGAGGTATCACCTGGAGATACCCACATAGCTTTGCGGTTGGTCTGCTCGTGCTAGGTGTCCTCTCCTCACACAGACTAGCGTGAGGAAGTAGCTCACCACCTGCTTGAAATCCTTCCATCAAAAAATCCATTAGTTGAAAACTATGCAAATAGTTTGTAGTCAAGTTAAATAAAAGTAACACTGTGACCCAGCAATGCTCTTTTTTTCTACAGCAGAGGGGAGAAACCAAGTTTAGGCAAAGCCAAGTAACAGCAAAGAGGCAGCTCCGCTGATCAGGTCCTGCTCCTAAAACCCAGTAAATCACAGTCTGCGCATCTTCCCATCTCCTGAGGAGGAACCAGCATTTCGTGAATTCATCTAACCATCAAACGAAGTAAATATTGCTCAGTCATGAATGCCAGGAGCCCAGCGCACAAAGTAAGTTTGCAGGCTATGTAAACAGCATCAGAAGATGCAGCCTAAAAAACCATGGTGTGTTCAGTGGCCGCATCATCCCACAGTTCAGATTTGTTTTGCCAGGTGGATGCACGTAAATCTGCTCTGCTCTAGCCTTTCTCAGCTCCAGCGGGAAGTTTTACACTAGTTTTACTGTTGTAAAGGCACAGACCTGGACCAGCACGGCGTGTCTTCGAGGAGCATCACTTTCCACCTCTTCAGCAGCCAAATTTTGGCCAGAGTTAAGGGGCCACCAGCAGGGCAGGGGAGATGGAGAGTCAGGAAATCTCTGCCCCAGCAGCCCGCCCTTGCACATTCCTGGCACCTCTGGTCCACAGAGACCTTTCACTGTGCCGTCTATAACAGAAGCCATGCATGGAATTATGTGTATTTCATATAAGTACAGAAATAATTAACAAAAAACGGGTTGATGATTGTTCAAAGAACTTCTTATGCACCAAAAAGAATTCCAGTGGCCAGAGGAGAAAAACAGGGAACAGCAACTGTAAAGTATCAAGATTTTATTGTTTTATATATATACTTTTAATTCTTAAATGAGACAGTATTTTTTAAAACAGCAGCAAGCAGAACGTACAAGTTGAGAAAAGTGGCAGCGCAGGTAACTCTGTTTGGCTAATGCCCGTTCATGTACAAGGCGTACACTGGATTTTTTTTTTTTGAGCACCTTTTGTGGTTTTTTTTCTTGGTTTAAGTGTACAGTAAGGCAGTGGTTTTTCAATAAGGAATATATATATATTTATATTTATATATCTTCTCAATCATCACTGTGAAGTCTTCTTACATGCAAATTAAATAAAATGTACAACTTGAAAATGTTACAACTGTAGACATTTTTTCCAAAGCAAAGCTTCTAATGAAAGGCAAATACGGACACCACGAAGTTAAAAAAGAGAAGGAAGGCATAAGAAACCGAATGGCAGGCGCTATTGACAGGACAGCTTGAGCAGGGAAGATTGGGATTCCAGTGAAGATTCCTCCCGCTGCTGGCAAGGCGAGAAAGAACGGATGGTTATTAACAGATGTCTCCAGCCAACTCCCTCGAGAAGATTCACTCTAACCTGAGAAGCTCCACATCAAAGAGGAGAGTAGCATTGGGAGGGATGACCCCAGGGTGGCCTGTGGCTCCATAGGCCATCTCAGGTGTGCAGGTCAACTTGGCTCTTTGTCCTAAGCTCATCTGGGTTTTGGATGTTGGAGGAAGAAAAAGAGAAGACAAAAAAACAAACAAACAAACAAAACAGTATTAGGAGGAAAACAAAGAACAAATCACTACGTGGCAGATTTACAGAATCGAGGAGGTTTGGGATCATCGGATTAATCTTTCAGCTTCAAGCGGAAGCTGCCACAAACAGCTCAGATGAAGGTCTCCTGACTCCTCTGGCTTCTCATGGCAGTTACTTAAGTTGCCAGAGCCAGTCCGGGACTCAGAGGCCTCTTAATGCTTACTCGGGTCCATATTGGCTACGCTGTAGCCAGCTGTAGGAGGTGTGAGTTCCTTCTGTGGGACGGCGGGCACATGTAACACCTTCAGCAGGCATTAGGAAAAGGCTCTCGGTAACAGATAGGGCTGGAGCTTTGTGTTCGTGAGAGGTCAGTGCTGAAATGCAGTTCAGTTCAGCTCCTGAGAAGCGTTCAGCAACATTTTTCCTTCTTCAGTCACCAGCAGGGATGACTTCAAAATGCTAATGCTGTAGGCACCTGACTTTCTGCTGCTGGGCAAATGCAAAGCAAACGCTGATGCAATCCTACTTACGAGAAGTACTTATTTCCCTAAACTCAGCCCAAGCCCAAGGGCAGATATTTCACCTCAGGTGTTGCTTATTCCAGCAGAGAGCCCTTGCCCCTCGGATGGGCAGAAATGCTGATTTCCCTCACTCCAGGTGAGCTCTGGAGGTAACAGCGCTCATCAAGATTTGGGGTATCAAGAATCAAATCCTTGCTTTTCCAACAGAGTATTTTGGGGTGGAGCACTCTCAGACTGCTATTCATGCACTGTACACTGGTGATTGAATATTCATTGGCCAAGAAACAATCCCTGATTTGAAGCAGTGATTTTAACTTGGACCTATCTCCCAAGATCAGGCACATCACTGTACTACAGATTATGTGTCTCCTGTTGAATTTTTTTTCAGGTCCTACCAAATATGCCAAAGCTAGAGCTTTGATCATTTTAGGTAGGAGAAAAACATGAATATGAACTTTCCCACATTTCGGGAGCATTCACGTCATGGGGCTGAGGGTGCAAGAGCAGATGATCTCCCCTGGTCCCTGCGAGGTTGGTGCGGGGCAGGCTGTCTGCCGCTCTGACGGGTCCCTGCAAGCCAGGCAGCTGCAAAGTTACGCACGGATTTTAGGCATGGGGCAACCTTGAACTGCCAGAAGTTGAGCAGAGAAACACAGACACTGCTGACTTCTGACAGTCAGTAAACGAAGGTTTGAAAATTCTGCATGCTAGGCGTAGCGAACTGCCTTTTTCCATGTGCTTTGTGTCAATCACACTCCCCAAACCCCTCAAAACCCTGGGGTGGAAGGAGACAGCCACAAGCTTGACTTCAGTCAGCAATCCACCAGGAGGAGCAGCAGGGCAGTGTGTTGCCACACCAATTACTGGAATGGCTGTTGGCCACTTATTAATTAAGGCACAGGAGTCAGGGAGCGAGAGTGGTGAAGAAAGGGATAAACTGATTCACCCAGCGCCTGCTGCCACTGCTTCATCTGCGCTGGCTTCCGGCTTCTGCAGCACACTGGGGTTCTGAGCTCCTCTTAGGCCTTACTCCAAAGCAAGTAGTAAAGAGTCCAGCTCAAATCCTTGAGAGGATGGGGTGGGTATTTTTCAGGGAGTCTAGGGTTCCTCAAATGGACTTTTTCTTTTCTGGCTGGAGAGAGGGGAATGCTTGCATTGCTTTCTCTATAGGGCTGGAAACCATTTTGTTTTCCATCCCTCTCTGGAAAAGCATGGTTGCATCATTCCTCAGTGGATTGTTTCTCATTTTGCATTCTTCCTTTCTCTCTATTTAAGCATAAGAAGTTGTTCCTGTTACAGTTGTTCCTATATTAGTATTTGAGCAGTTTCCTCCTACACTGAGCTCTAGGACCCAGAAAAGGGGAGCCAAGAGGAATTTGCACCCTGATCTCATTCACTCTGGCATGTGAGCAGCCCGATCGCACTCCTCACTCGCATAGCAGGCCCTCACAACACTGCAGACAAAAAGCAAGAGTTGGTAATAAATTGCACTGTGTGGCTCTTTTAGGGTTTTACTGTGTTGGCACTCAAACTGTAATTAATGGACGGCAGTTTCCTTTTTCTCAGCATAGTGTTGGTCAGTGAATGTTAAGTTTTGTAGCCGGGAGCCTGAAGTGATAAAAATTTAACAGTGTGGTTTGGTACCTTATTCAGTAAGGGTCAAAATCTATAGCTCGGTCATGGATGTCATCAAAACCACCAGCTTGGACTTTTATGGAGTAGCTGAATAGAGGCCGCTCCATAAAACGCTGCCACCTGGAACATTTTAGAGGCTGCTGTTGTCTATTTGTGGAGCTGCCCATGGGAAAGGGATGGGGCTTGCATGGCACATTGGCACCTAGGGAGGGAGCTTCACCTCCCCCCTCCCAAATGCATACCTCGTGAGCAGGGGATGTCCCTGGATGGACGGAGGAGAACTACAGGAAATACTGTGCTCGAATGGACCACGCTTTCAGAAAACCACTCGGTATCCTACACCGCTATTTCTGCTTGGTCTCGTCACCACTGCACCAGACCTTGCTGTGCTCACACACCCTTCAGCCAGAATAATTTCTTTGTACCTGTGTAACACCTTCTTCAAATCCTTTAATGACTTCTTGCCTGCCAATCTTGAACCTGAAAGGCTTGTTTCTGTCTCTGGAGGAATCAAACTTCTTTCCATTCTGTAGCATCCCTGCCAAAACAAGACACACAGTCTCAGTCTGAGCTACATCTGAATTTAAGTGCTGGGGGGGGAAGCGGTGAAAAATTAATGTCTTGGTCACATCAGCTGCTCATTTCCATTTTCAATTTGAAACTTCATCCAAAAAGGCAGAACAGTCAAACACAGTGGTACCATATTGTTACCTTTGCCTTCTTTTCACTTAGGCTCTAAAATGGAACTATATTCTTCTTATTATTCTTAATGCAATAGGTTATAACTCATAATGTACCAAGCATTGCACAGACATACAGAAGAGCTGTTGCTCGCCCAGTGGAGCTTCCCAGCTAAGTAGATAAAAGCAGGCAAAGAACAAGTGGGAAGCAGCAGAAGAGCGAATTCCAACGCACGTGCGTGATCCAGGCCTGCTCCTAAAGACAAAAAAAAGCTCCCTAAAACGAGCCTACAGACAAAGAAACCAGATTTAACCTAAGTTTGACCAGGCTTACTTCTCATTAAATACCTACCATTTATTTTAAGGTATTTTTTTAACAGCATAACTAAAGGGAACAGTCCTTGCAGAGTATGTGTCGGGTAGCCAGGCGGCTGCTGCTATGTGTGGCCCAAAGCTCACCACAGCCAACTCCTAGGAGCTTTCCACCCACTTCAAAGGGTGGTGATGTAGATTGAGGTTTCAGAACTCTTAAGCTAAGTTTGCTGCCAGTTAAATGTCTGCAAGTACAGAGCAGCTCCTTTGACTTGTTCCTGCAAATTTATACCAGAGTACCTAGAAGGAATATTTGGTACCTTGGACTGTTTATCTTCCCTACTTGATTTACTCAGGACTACTAGAATAACGTGCATTCCACAAACGTGGGGCTGCTCCGCACCACGCATGTGAAACCTCTACACATTACAGCTGCATGTGTCTCCTCCTCATACAGAAAGAGTGGAAAAGGCTCTGCGTTCACAAATATGAAAACAGCAAGGACATTTATATGAATACTCTACTACCCTCATTCTATGTTTTCACTCAGCCACAAGAGGCAGTCACAGGAACACCTTACTCATTCCTTTTGGTGGGCACAACACTGTTTCAACCCATACATTATGAACACGTGCCCAGATTCTGCAGCAAAGGGGTAAACCTTCACAGAGCGCTACATGATTAGGTATTCTCATTCTCTTTTCAAACAGCAGATAATTATGGTAGCTTTCAGCTTAAAAGTACCTGGCAATTGCTCTTTCAAAATGCTATGCTCTGGCTATTGCAAGGGTGGGCTGCTATTTATATATTAGCATAAATCCTTTCTTTGTAATGCTGCAGTGCCAGTGTTCTGGGCATACACCGCAACCCTCCTGTGCAAGGTGCTGTACAAAGAGAAGTTAATCAGTCAGCAAATATCTGAGAAAGTTTCTGGTTGAAAACAACATTGCCAAGCACAGCTGTGCCAGCTGTGCACCCTCAGGAAGTTTGCGGATGACACCAAGCTGAGTGGTGCAGCTGACACACCAGAAGGACGGGATGTCATCCAGAGAGACCTGGACAGGCTGGAGAGGTGGGCCTGTGTGAACCTCATGAGGTTCAACAAGGCCAAGTGCAAGGTCCTGCACCTGGGTCGGGGTAACCCTCAGTATCAGTACAGGCTGGGGGAAGAAAGGATCGAGAGCAGCCCTGCCGAGAGGGACTTGGGGGTGCTGGTGGATGAAAAGCTGGACATGAGCCGGCAATGTGCGCTGGCAGCCCAGAAGGCCAACCGTACTCTGGGCTGCATCAGGAGAAG